AATACACTTTGTGTTATTGAAAACAAGATCTCTACAAGATCCTGTCTAGTCTTTTGATAAGTTTTCCTTCTCTAAGGAGAAGGAAAGATAAAAAATCAGACAGTAAAGAGTCACATCTGTCCTTCTTCATCTTACATGTATCAGAAAAGTGCATTTTCCTAACCTTCCTGTCTTTTAAAAATCTTGGTTTATTTAGAGATTTAAACATTTGGTAATCTTCCTGAGGCTTATTCCAGTGTAACATTTGAGCCTATCATAACTAAAGGTTTCCTCTAATGAAAGCCAGGAAAGTTAAAATTATTTTAAAGAAAGACCAGAAGGTACGGAGGACATGAGGAGGAACTGGAGAAGCAGAGACACTGCAGACACTTACCACATACTTAATTCCTGGCCTTTTAAATGTTGTGATAAAACAATGTAATCTGTGATAGAGACTGGATAGCCAATGTTTGACAGGCATATCTTTGTATGCTTATTCTCTGGGGAACTATAGTAGAGTAACTACTACTAATAAATAAGGTGTTGGGAAAACTCATTTTCTTGTGGATAGAAAATATCATCTTTAGAAGTGTAAACAGGCCATTTGGTAGAATTTCTTTATTTCCTTCTATTCCCTGGCAATGTCCTGTGTGTATATACTGAGTGTGGGGCGTTTCTACCCTTTCACCCTCTGTTGGGCCTCCTGGCTCTCACTGCAGGCCTTCTGCTTCCCAAGGGCTCTCTTCTTGGATGACTTTCCTTCCATTCTTCTCTCTCTCTCTCTCTCTCTCAACCAAGGGGTTGAGTTATGGTTGCTTGTCTGAGTATGAGTAGGGGGCGGTTTCTTAGACAGCACAGGCCACTGCCAGTGTCCATGTCACCGAGGAAAAGGCCACCCTTTCCACCAGTACCCACTAACTGACAGCAGTACCTCAGTGAGAGTGGGGCCTCACCAGCTCCACCCCCGCCTGACGACACGGTGCTGGGCTCAGTCTTGCACAGGTCTTGTTCAGGGAAGCATAGGTGCAATCCATTCATGAGGGTCAGTATTCAGAGCCGCCCTCCCCAACCTCTGGCTCTTCCTTCCCCCTCCCATGATACTCCCTGAATCTTGGAGAGAGTCTTTTTCAAGAAGACATTTAATATAGATACCCTGTTCATGGACAAACAATCCACACTCATTTACTCTTCTCATTTCGGCCAGTTGTGAGTCTCTGCATTATATGGCCAAGGCTGAGAAGGAATGGTCTATTGGTTTAGACTTGAGTGTTAAGAAGAGGTTTCATACCACAACAACTGTACCGAGTTCTTCCCTAGGACCTAGAACCTGCCCAGTCAGCTGTGGCTGGAGTTCCACACCATTTCTAGTCGACATTCAATTGTGTTGTTCATGAGGCGAAACAAAGAACCATTATCAAGATAGAGCAGAAGTAGGAAGATGATTTATAGAGAAATTTGAAAAAAAAAATGTATTTGTAGTTGACTCAGATTGAATTGTAAAATGATGTTTGTACTGTTTTGTCATTTGTGTTTAATGGAGTTGGATTTCAATGACAGTACAAGCAACTTTCGAATCCTACCATTTTTCATTAATATGCTTTGATAATATGAATTATGAAGTATTCTCGGCAATGTAAAGAAACATTAATAATTCAGACAATATATGAGCTAAACGTATCTCATGTATTTGTGTTTCCAGAAGAAGCAGTGCGTTTTTGTCATGTAAATAATGAAAATAAATTGAGTCAAAAGAATTGATAAGTGAAAGGTTTTCACTGAAGAATAAACATATTTGTTCCAGGAATAGAAAACACATGGTACCTACCACGGGCTGTAAACCATTATCACACTATGAATCACTGCTAGAGACACACGGCTTTCAGTCAGTACAGTAGAGAGTGTTGCATTAAATCTGTAAAAGATTGAGAGTCTAGATATTTCTAGAACTTATTCTGTAGTCAAAAATGGCTTTGAAATTCTGATCCTACCTCCTATTCAAGCCTACTGGGATTACAGGTGTGAAGGTGCATACCCCACAGAAAATCTAGATTTAACTACAAATACCTGCACTGTGTGTTATGGAAAATTTGTCAGAAATTTGCAAATATGGGGACCAAGGTCAAGGTCAAAAGGAAATGAAAGGAATTCTCCATTTTAAAATTTTATCAGGCATGACATACAAATTAATCTGGCTTCTCTTTAGATGAAAGCAGTGCCATTCTTCCAAGCAAGGATGAGTTTTAATTGATGTGTTGTGAAGATGTGACTTTAATTCTCTTGAGTAAAGATGGGGGGGGGGATTTTCCAGGCTGGAAGAACAGAGCTGAAGAGCATTCTGAGTGTCAACTGATTGTTTGACTCTATAAAGAACTTGAAACAGTGGCAGATGGGAAGTACTAGCAGGCCCTCCACAAACAGGTCTAAAAAGCAAACTTCTCAGAAACTGATACGAAGATATTTGAAAACCTTCAGAATTTAGTGTTTCTTATCAAGGAAAATATAATATCCTTATGATTTTTAAAACTGAAACATCTACTAGAGTCAGTGAGATGGCTCAGTGGGTAAAGGTGCCTACCCCTAAGGCTGGCAACCCAGATTCGATACTTGGAACCTGAATGGTGGAAGGAGAGAATTGATTCTCTGAAAAGTTGTGCTTCCGTCTCTCCATGTTCACTATGGTCCACATGTGTGCGTATGTATACACACATACATACCCAAGGAAACATAATTGCTACATACTGTTTTATCCCTGGGGTGTACATTGTTAACTGTCTACCAATGTCCTTCTATATTTATTTTTTGGTACCAGGCTGCCAATAATATTCTATTCATGCTCCCCACCCCTTCTTCCTATTGAGATGGCCATATTCCCTAAGGGATCCTTTGAACAAATGAATAGACAATGATATCTTAGCAGAAGCTACTGAAGGAATCTGTGGTAAACCTTCATCTTCCTGGGTAAAATGCAGATATCCTGTTTGGAGCCTTAGGAACTATCTTATCTTAGGATAAACTGTTCAGAATGGAGGCTGTACAGATACATTGAGAGAAATGATGGGGGATTTTCCCATAACCTGGGTCCTCAATGACCTGCAGAAACCACTAACAGACCTGGATGATCCATGAAGAAAACAAGACAGCTTAGTGTTGCTCATCAAGGCACACACATGATGCGGTCGGCGCACACATGATGTGGTCTGCACTTGACACCATTCCCGTTCCCCAGCAGTCTCTTAACAGTCTACTTGTTCCATTTCTCATACATACCTGATCCATTTGTACTTAAAAGACATATGTGTCTTCTGGCCTGTCACCAACCCTTTCTTATGTTACATTTTCCCACCCGTGACTCTTCCTGTTAGTGTTCTGTGAAGTATTTTGTGTCCTTTCTCTCCTTGCTTTGAACCCCTCTTAGTCTCTCTGACACTCTATAAAACCTCCTGATAGGTCTTCCTCCTCCTACCTCCTTTATAGGATTATACCATGCTATCATTCACTGTTGCCACAGAGAAGATTATCAAAGTCATATACAATGGAGCTCTTTCCTTTTTTCTTAATGTCGCTTACTTCACAGATTTCTTTTTAAATATATGTCATCTTGAAGAGGGATCCTGTGACATGCCCCCATTGGCATGCCAACTGGCTTTGTCATTATGCAGATTTTGTTGGACTACCACACTGTGGAGACTTTGTTGCAGCTTCCCCATCATGTCTGGAATGCATTAGCTAGCAGAGTTTTGTCCTTCTGGCTCTTACCTCATTTTTTCCACCCCCTTTTCTGTGATGTTCCCTGAGCCTTAGGTGTAAGGGTTGCATTATAAATGTGTCCCTTAGGGATGTACAACTCACAGTCACTTATTCTCCTCATTGACCAGTTGTGGAACTCTGTAACAGCCTCCATCTTTTGCAAAAATGAAGCTTCTTTGATGAGGGGTGGCAGGTACACTTGTCTGTCAACATGAGGATGCATATTTAGAATACAGTACGAACTTGGTCTAGGGAAGGGACAGAAGCAGGCTCTTCTTCAGGGTCCATGATCTATCACACCAGCTATGTGTACTTGGCTATGTTTATAGTACCATGCATGAATTCCAACCCGTTGAGTAGGTCTTACGTCCAATTAGACACTGTTGTTTACCCCCAAGGTAAAGTGCCACAAATGCCCCAATATAGTTTTCTGGGTCAGTCACTGTTGTGATTTGTAGGATTTCATGAGATCCCACGTTAAGAGCTAGATCTACAATCAATAGATTTTGAAGAAGGGAGAATTCAGGGAGTCCCTGAGAGGTTATCTAATCACATGTGGGCAACCTTAAACACAGATAACAGATATACATGAGCATCACTGAATGGACTCAGTGCATATATATATATATATATATATATATATATATATACAGACACATATACATATACATAAAACTGTAGAGGAAAAGATATTGAGAGGCAGTTGGGGACATGGGAAGACTGGGGATATGGAAATAATGAAAATATAATACTTGAGTATGAAATTCTGAGAGATAACATGGGAAATAATAAAAATTAAAAATCAACCACTGTACTATAACATACTGTCAAAATGTTTGACAACTCAAACATTGAATACGGCCTTTGATGGTTAATTTTAAATTTCACATTGTTGACACAATCTAACACCTGAAAGGCGGTCCCAATGTGGGATTGTCAAGATTAGGCTGACTTCTGGGTTGTTTAAGTTGTAGTGACAAGACTTGCCCACTGTGGATGGCCTTGTCCCTAGGGAAGTGCCTCTGACCTGTGTAACAGTAGAAAAAGTGAACTAAGCACTAGGATGCAGCATCAATTTGTAGCCTTCTGCCCTTGATGTAACGTGTCTGGCTGTTTCAGATTCCTGCCGTCTTGACCTCCCTGTGGTGATGGACTTCAACCTGGACTAGGAGCCAGAGAAACCCTTCTTCTCTAAGCCACGTTTGTCAGGATATTTTATCAGAGCAACAGGACACGAGACTAAGACTATCAATGCTTTCATTTTGTTCTCACAGAATATGTGTTCTCCTGTTGACTTTAAAGATTCTACTGAGCACAGAAAATATGCTCCTCATTTTCATGTGAAGTTAAAAACAACAGATATTGATGGAAAATCAAAAACATCAAAACAGCCCATTCAAAAATGTCAGTTATAGAAATGGTTATTTGGACTAGAAGAGTGTGTTTTGATGAGGGCTAAATAAAGCAATGGTAAATTGGGCAGGTTGATTATGAACTATAAATGTAGGAGTCAAAAATTCACAGAGACTTTTGGTAACATATCCTGATCTTGGGGTGGAGATGGCTCAGGAGCTAAGAGCACTTGCTGCTCTGTCAGAGGACATGAGCTCAGTTCCCAGAACCCAAGTCAGGTGGTTCACAACTGTCTGCAACTCCAGCTCCAGGAGCTCTGTCACGGTCCGGCCTCCGCAGTCACCTGCACACATGACACACAGTTGGCACATATATGGCACGTATACTGGCACCCATATATACACATAATTAAAGATAAAAATAAAATCCAAAAGAATCCATATCTCACTCAAAACTTTCAATTGATGTATTTTCCAAATGTCAAGAACCAGATTTTATGTAGAAAATGGAAATTCAGAGAAAATGGTGCTGGCAAAATCCCTCAGGATCTGATAGTTTTGTGACTGTCTGGCTCTGTTAATACCCTTCTTTAGGAAATATACAATAACAGCCAAATCACAAATTGTTCAAATTAAAAGTGAAATTCAATCTGCTTTAGCTTTGACTAGAAATGATTGGTTGTATAACTTCACATTACCTTATCATTACCTTATTTTATTGAACTGTTGTTTTTTTTCTCTATAGAGTTTTCTAAAAAAAACTCTCCTTTGGTGAAATAAACATTCTTTTATACTGTCTTTCACAGAACTGTCTAGTCATTTTGTAGAATCAGTTGAAGATCTTACCAATTTTCTCCAGAGATCTCTGACTTCTTGAAGTCCTGGTAACTCTCAGTCTGGAGTCGCACAGGGCCCACCTCCTGGCTCCTCTCTGTGTGAGGTCCTCTCAGACGCCCCCCATCCTCCCTTGTCAGCCCCTCCATCAGCTCTCCACTACTTTTCTGAGTTCCATAAATCTTGTTTTTAATTTAGATGTTATTTTATGTAACATGTATTCTTTTAAAACTCATTACTTTACCTATTTATCTTCTCTCTGATTTCATTCTTCATTCTTAGAATTACCTTTTAAAATGCATTGACAGTCCATCCACTCTCTATCAATAGAGTCTGTTACTGTTGAATTGTTATCTTGGGAGGAGCCATGTTGATAGACATATAGACAGGCATTGATATTGCTTCTGCCTTGGGACTTGTGCATCTGGAGCCAGTCTTTATTCTCTTGCAATGATGTTTCAGTGGAACAATTCACGGTGTTCATGTGGGACTAGGTCGTGAGAAGTTGAGAGGCAGTTTCTCTTCCGTGGCCTAGGGGTCCTGCTCCCCAGCCTGCTGCTCCAGCCACTTGCCTGATATACTCAGGGTACTGTGCCCAATCTCCAGCTCAACTCTGAGAGAAAAAGACTAACCTCAAAGGCAACCACAGCTCATAGACAAACCCACTATGAAGATAAACTAAACCACTTGGAAACCATCACCCCAACTCCAATAACCTATAAAGGAGCACAATCTGCATGCTGTGAGTGGAAAGAAAATAAAAGCTTGTGATTCAGATTAGAAAACAGAAAATAAGTGAGCATTGATAAGTGACTGTGGTCACCCACATCAAAATCTTGGCTCTTGGCACTGATACTCAGGGCATAAGCCCCAGGCCATCCTGTACGTTCCTAAAAGTCTACCTCAAGAAGAGAGGAAAAAGGAGAAGAACTTGCTTGATAAACTTTTAAATTTTATTTTAATTTCCTTTCTGAAACACTGTCTTAGGTAGCAAGGCCGGCCTCAAACCTGCTTTGTACTCATTGATGACCTTAAATTCCTGATCCTCTTTCCTTCTCTTCCCAAGTTCTGAGATTATACCTGTGCATTACCACACCTTAGCTGAAACACATTTAAAAACATAATAGACTGTCCTCTGAGGATGCCAGCCACGTGGGAGATAGGTGAGACTGAGGACCTGTGCTTCTGTGACAGCCAAGGCAGAGACCACTTGCCTCTGGGCTTCCTCTGCTTTTTTTTGTGATGCTCCCCTACCAAATTGAGAGTGCAGCCTGAGGGTAGAGAAAATGTGGCCGTGTTTCTTAAGTCTTGGTGGGGCAGACTGGAAGCTTTCTCCCTGCCCCCCCATCTCTGGGACTTTCAATCATCTGGTCTTGTGGTTGTGAATCCTTAGGTGAGTGCAGTGACCAGCAACCATGAATGCGTTTTGCTCCTGCGATTTTGCCTTCTGGTGGGTGCTCTGGCAGGAAGTGACTTCCACTCCTCCTGGCCTCTAGCCAGGGTGACATCACGTGATGCCGTCTGTGGGTCTATCTCAAGCTTTTCCTTTAACTTAACCTACTGCAAGATAGCACTCAGCAGCTAACTCCTGACCCTTGATGTGGCAGATTTCCAGAGAGCAGACAGTGAAGGAAGCTTGTCTGACGCTTGAAGACTCAAAGAACCTTTCAGGATGGCTTCCTCCACGGTGCTGTGACTGAGTGCCGACACAAACTTCCTAGGCCTCTGTGCTATGGCCTCCAGGACCACTGTCCAGCTAGACTGCAGGTCCTAGCAGTGTTGAGTGCTGTCTTGTTTCCCTAGCTCTTCATTCTTCATCTAAACCCCTACTGCAGTTTCCCCTGGATCTATTTCCTCAGGGGCATTCCTCTCCACATTCTAAGTTTTATCTATCTGCACATGTATGTATGTATGTATCCTATATCCTGTCTCTTCACAGTTGAAGCTATAGCACCTCTGATATACCAGGTGTTTCTACTTCTCCCTCCTCCCCCTCCACCTTCTTCCCTCCTTTCTGCATCTCTGGGTCTCTATATCTCTGTCTCTTCACGCGCAGACAAATACACACATATACACACATATGCACACATACATGCAAACATAGACATACACACATACATGCAAACACCCCTACACACACACACACACACACACACACACACACACACACACACGCACACCTGCTTCGTCTTCCTACTCTGTTGTCTGGATTGAACTCTGTTATTTTCATGGTGAGCTTCTATCTGCTATTTTGCTTTCATAGAAAGAATTAATACAGTCTGCATCACTCCTGCTGAGTTGCCCGTGGCTTCCTGTCACTGCGCCCCTGGGAGCCGGGAGGATGCAGGTTCTCAGCTGTTCCCAGTTTATTCCAGAGGTGTTAGCTGTGGTCTGCCGTCTTCCACCTCCGCCTGTAATTGGAACCTTATTGGAGGTGATGCTCTTGACGCTTGCACACACTACTGCTGACTTGCACATAGTACTTCTGACATGCACACACTACACCTGTAATTGGAACCTTATTGGAGGTGATGCTCTTGACGCTTGCACACACCACTGCTGGCCTGCACACACTACTGCTGACTTGCACATAGTACTTCTGACATGCACACACTACTGCTGGCTTCCGTACACTACTGCTGGCCTGCACACACTACTGCTGGCCCGTACACACTACTGCACACATGCAGACACATCAATTAAAGATAATTGCACATGGCATCCTAGGTGCTGATGGTTTTTGTTGTAAACAGTATCCAAAATGCTCGATTTACAACTAACTCAGTTCGCTAGTAACAAATATTTCCTTTTATCCTCTTTAGCTTACATTAGTGCTTTTACTGTTTCTAGCATTTGTTTTATTTGTACAATTTATTTTTTAATTTTGAAAATGACATATGTAAGTCTTAAGTTAACATTTTGCTTCATTTTGCCTAACATAATACACCCATTTCATTTTACAAATATGAGTGTGCTTAATATTAGAAATTAACCCCTTAAATCCACGTGTCCACGGTGAAGGGACAGAGCTGTCTGTCACTGTGGGGCTAACAGTGTGTGCCTGGGGCGTGGGATGCATTTCCAGGTATTTCTGAGCACCATCTCTGTTCCTGGATGATTACGAGGAAGTGAATTCAGGTCTTTGATAAGAATCTCCAGCTGTTGCATAAATGGCATTTCTGAGAACACTTCCTATTCAGAGTATAGGCCAAAGGGCTAATTATTGAGGGTCATTTTGACAAAGTGCCTGTGATAGGATTTGTACAATCTCTAGCTATTTCCCTCCATTACATCCTCTGAATGCTCCAAATCCACTTCTATTCTGAATCGAAGATGCAGAGGGAGATTTTATGGTTTCCATTTTCTACCTCCAACATTTTTCTTCCAAATTCATCCAATTTTTCATATCTTGCTGATTTTAAGCCATTTGTCTTCAAGTGATTTTCATAGTCCTTTTTCTTTTTCTGTTCTCCTAAGCTGCTTGCTGTAATGACTGAATCTTAGTCTAGGCTATAAAGTAAAATCAAGTAAATTATTTCAGGTCAACAATTAAAGCCCGTGTGCATAATTTAAACTAAAATTCTTGCTTTATGATTTAACATTAAAAGCAAAGTATATTTTGTTTTTACATTACTATAATAGTTCAAGTTCTTTATTTTTAGTATTATTGCTGGCTATAAGAAAGGGGGACGATCAAATGGAATTCAGATAGGCAAATTTGGACTGATTTGTAGCATCAGTGCCTTGTGGTTCAGGTGCTCCCATCCATTACCTGTCTCCTGCAACGTTGGATGGGAAGGATGTGAGCCGCCTCTGCCCTTGGCTGTGAGAAATAGTGGGACTTGGTGCTTCCGAATGAAAAGCAGTAAAGAGAATTATTCTGGTGCCTGCTTTGTAAAGCTTGTAGGCTGTGTGAGCCTCTAACTCCTGCGAGGGCCTCCTGACACACACAGGTCCTTAGAAATATATCCACCTTCGCTACACTAAACATATTTCAGTTTAGGCATTGATTCATGATGTGAGTTAGGATGAACTGTGCTGGCAAATACAGAAATTAGTACCATAACACAACGCCCCTGAAACGTAGTCATGTATGTGAGGTCAGTTGTGAGAGGTGAGATAACTGCTATCACAGGCTGGAAAGATGGGGCTGCGTTTTGAATGGCAAATATTTTCCTGTAATAACTTGGAAGGCAAACTATGCGTCAAGTAAGAGAA